TAAAAATTCACCAGGCGAAGGCATTCGTGAAGTAGCAGAGTACGAAGCTCCAGCAGCAACTATCTGTTAACAAGGCTGCCAATACCCTCATTTGAGAGTTGCTTAGAAGCAAGCTGGTGGTGGTTACTGAAACAGTGAATGAACGAATCGTAGAAGGACTGGTTGTCTTGCAGGATGAGCCGAACCCTCAATCTTCTACAACTCAAAAGTGCTACTCGCCACTGCGCCAAATCTGCCAATATTAAGTAAAAATCTTCAAATTATGATTTTTTTGTGATTAGAAGTTGATACGTAATTTTTTTCTTAGTAAATTCGGCATTCACTGTTTTTACTTCTTTGACAGGAAATGAAATGCCAAGGAGGTTCAAACCCCAAATTTGTGCCATTTTTTATTTAATTTTTCAGGATGAGGGTTTACAAAAACAAAAAGTTTCAGACAGGCCATATTAAAGAAGAATTCACAGCTCATTATAAGTTTTTCAGTTCGTTATCCTCCAAAATTATTGCAATATTACAACGCTCATTACGATGTTTTCCTGCATGTAAAAAATAGTTCGGAGGTGATTTTCGATTTTTTTTTTGTGAGACATGGCCAAAAAATGATGGTACTTACACTGCTGGAACAGGTCTGACAAATGTGTTTTCACACAAACATGCAATTCTCATGCATAATCAAACAGCTTTTTTGTCAATGATGCTAAACAAACAAAATTATTCGCAACCTTACAAATGAGGGAGTTATTTTGGCAAAAAAATTTTTTGATCGTGCAACGAATTTTACAGTGAATCAATTTTTGACGGAAATTCCTTTTGGCTCAGTGGATTACTCATGAAAAGGAGCAGCTGTTGCCTCTTTAAAAAATAATATCCCTCAAATTGAAGGATTGTTGAAAGTGTTGTTCGAAAAGAGGCTTTTCAGTGTTTGATGATTTTGGAGAGTACAATTCATCTGCGTTTTAGTGAAATAAACTTGCCATCCCGTCCCTCAAAAAAAAGGAACTTTTTTTGGCACACCATTTTCTACTGAAAACTCTAATTGGTTCCAGCGCATTGTATTCAAAAGACCGTCTCTTTCGTGCCACCATTTCCATATAATTGCTCTGGTGAAAGTAAAATAAAATTTGAAATGTTTATTTAAATCGAGTAGCAAACGTAGATGTAGTAGTAAATAGTGCTACTTTTCGTGCCAAGGATCTCTGATTCGACTTTACCGGTGGAACAAACGATGCCTTTACGATTCATTCATTCGTTTTGATGGCAAATTGGTATTGTAACCATTAAGCCAGAAAGTCAAAACCGCCATCAGTTTGCTTCTGCATCCTTCAGACGAGGAAGCTGTTACTATGGTTTTGTTTGGTTTATCACAAAGAATGAAATGACAGACCTGGAATGAGCAAGTACCCTTGGATGTTAATCGTACGCACTGATTTCCCATGATCATGGCAGATGCTTTGACTTCCTTGCGTGCATGACGTGACTCAAGATGTTCCCGAAACACATCAACTATATTCATTGTTAGGGGCAATACTAGTGCGCCATCTTTTCTCCTGGAAAGGCAAATTTGCAAATGAATATGTTGTTGGAACTGATCGATTTTGAATGAGATTTCAGCATCCCAGGTCTACCTGGATGCTACGGATGCTGAAGCTGTATTTAAGAGGAAGGGGCGAAGAGGGAAGAAAAGAGCTAGGGACTCTGGAAGACA